AGGGGCCCAAACCAAACCCTTAAATTTACCTTTGTAGGCTACAGGATCCGAAGTCTTTACAAGGATGACTTCATTCATCACTTTACTTCCCGCGGGGCCAGGCTTGGGGAAGGGGGTTACAAACCAGTTGCCACTTGTTTGACGCAAGCTTTAAAAAAAAAAAAAGGAATGTAACTTCTTGGGTATCAATCTTTACACCCTTCAGTAGCTTTTCTCCTTCAAACTTTTAGAAGTGCTGTTAAAAAATGGGAGGCGTTGGCTCACAACTGAGCCCAGTCTTTATAATCAAACTAAGAGCATGAAGCTGTGTTTCAGGCTCAGCGGTTACAGGCAGAGAAATCCTCTGCTCTGGGTGCAATCTAAAGTGAGAAAATAAAGACACAAGAAATATGGGACTCTGGGTTTGAACACCAGGGCTGGATAACGACTTATAAACTCGTAAACTATCCCTCACCCCATTTCATCCACGCTTTTTAAAAATGCATTTAAATTTAGTTCAATTTCCTAGCTCTCTGGCCGCCACGCCACTCCCAGACCACCACACCTGGTGCATATGCTGCAGACTCTCCAATGCCCGCCACAGGTTTGGCGAGTGTCCGCCCCAAAGCGGAAGTGACTTAAAAAGGACAAACAAGATAGTTCAAATACCAGGACTCTAGAATCTCTGCATATGTTCTGAAAAAAACTCTTCTGACAACTATGTAGTCTTTCTTCTTCAGTAAGAGTGAAGAAATGGATTCGCCCACTACTTTTACGAAACTAGTTGCTGCTCCAACTTAAAATCATTTAAAAGTTTCGCTCTTCTTATTGGGCAACGAGAAAGCATGGCCATTTCCGAGGAACTACAATTCCCGTCAGGCATCGCAGGAAGTAAACGGAGACAAGGCTACTAGCGGGAGCAAGGCATGTTGGAAATTGTAGTCCGCTCAGGCCGCAAAGGACAATCATCCCGCCTTCTCTCACTGAAGCTAGTGAAACCAGGTGTTCGGGTTAGAACCCGTTACCGCTAAGGGGAGGAGCTAAGCCCTGAATCAGTATTCCTCACTTCCACCCATAGGTATGGTGAAGATTTTCCCTTATCCTTATAAAGCACTATAGATACTTCTCGAAGAAATATGGGTGTCTTCCCAGTACCTCCAGGTTAGTAGAAACTCCCCAAACTCCCCTACCTCCAGACCTAACTCGTGGGAAAAGGTGGCTGTTTTACAAGTGGGCAAAATGGCTGTCCTCTCAGTTTTATCATTGGTTGTCTTTTGCATCCTTCAAGGGCGGTGACTCACCACCGATTGGTCCTTTCTCCTTTGAGGGTGGAGAAATGCCTGGCACGGCTCTCCCGCTGCTCCGGAGGAGATAAAGGGGTGGAGAGAAGGTAGTGTTGTCAGTCATGATTGGATAGTCACCATGTCGTTCCGAGGACATGCAACCTATGAAGTGTCAGCTCCCCCTCAAAGAGAACGAAAAGGCGGGGCTAGTGCGCGGTGGGAAGGGGCGGGATTCTGCCAGCCGCGGCTGCCGCTGGAGCCGGTGTCCGGGCTGGTGATGGGGTTAATTCCCTTTCGTAAGACTCTTACTTGCACCCACCCAACCCCGCCGTCGCCCCACCGCGCCGCGCTCAAACCGCCTCCTCCTCCTCCTCCTCCTCAGTAACGCGGGTAAGAAATGCCCTCCCCTCCCCCCTTCAGCTCCCCGGGAATAACGCGCCTCGCTCCCCTCCCCCGCCCGCCAACCGGTAGCGCTAACGGAGAAGGAGGCTGAGAGGGGAAAAATGTGTGTGAAAAGGTGGCCTTCCCTGCCGAGCCTTTGGCGTTCCAGCCAGGGCCCCGCTGAGGTGCCGCTGCTGCTGTTGCTATTGCCAGCCCGCTGGGAGGTCGGATTCCGGGGGAGCCCGTCTCCCCTGGCCCGCTGCTGCGGCTGCATCTGCAGCCACTACCTTGTGCCCACCACCCCCACCCGGGGGCCAAGTGAAAAAAAGCAAACCCCTCGAGGCCTAGCTGAGGAGGCAGGGGAAAGGTTCCCGAGTCTCTGCCATGGCTGCTGCTGCCCTCACAGCCCCAGGGACACGGGAGCCAGCCACAGCAGGCCTGCCAGGAGCGGGTGCCCTACGTGGTTCTGCTCTCTTCAGTGACTAGTGCGGGTGCCCCTGGCTCCCCGGCCCATCCTTGGCCCTCTGGCCTGGCACCCATAGAATTTTTGAAAAGCTAAAATAAGGCGCTCCGACCGGCTGGTGAAACTGTAGGTACATCTCGCCTGTGGTACCAGAAAAAGCACAATGGGAATATGAAAAAAGAAAGTTGAATGACTGTCAGTGCCACGGACCCTGGAGGTCAGATTTACACTTACTGTGGTTGAACCTTGGACTGTCCCCCGGATCCTTGTGATTTCAAGTTTTTGTTGTGGCCGTGATTCTCTCTTTTTGTTAACCCCGTGCAGAGGCGAGTGCCTCTGTTCTTTTGAGCTTTTGTATAAAACTTAAATTGTTGAAACTGCCATACCTTGTATAATTGTCCTGGGGTAGCAAATGAACTAAGAAAAAGGCATAGAGTAAGACTAAGGCGCATATGAATTTTCTAGTAAGATATTTAGAAAAAAACAGAATGTATGTATCTTCAATATTATAGTTGATCTAAATAATTCTGAAGAAACTCTTTACTTTTAACTTAATGTCATTTATTACAAGTGAACTTTTAAGTAATAGAAAGATGGTTTAAGTCAAACTGGAAGTCCACCTGTAGTCCTTGAGTCAGTTAAGAGCTATATAGCATTTAATATAGTAGTCTACCAGTATGGCTAGATTAATTGGGCACATACCAACATAATCACTCTAACCAAATTTGGCATATCTGACAATATATGAATAGCAAATGCTTATTTTCACTTCTTGTTTGTTTTTTGCTTGGATGAATGCCTTAAATAATGGATTCTATAATTTGTGTTAGGTTGGTCTTCTGTGCCTTAATTTGTTACCACATTAAACTTGTGGAGACTCTTTGGGGAAAGACCTGCGTTTGACTAAGTAATGAGAGGATTCACTAGAGGCAGAGTGGGGAGCAGAAAAGGCAGATCAAGGAACTACACTGCTGAGGGGAGCAGCAGGTGAGACAGGTGAGGTCTGCTGCTCAATGTGGATCACCTCCATGGCTTGGGATTGAACTATCCCACTGAAGCAGTCATGGCCAGCTTCACAGTGCTGTGCTCTGACACAGGATTATTGTTCCTTTCAGGCATATTTAGAGAATGAGTTTATTTGCACTCACAAGGTGTTGCTGCCTCAGAATATATTCTGTTAGTGAAGAATATTATGAGGATTTTCACTTATATAGTGACTTTGAAGTGCTGTTGGCAGTTGGTTATTTTCAAAGTGAAAGATTATAGTAAAGTGAACATCAGAATTAAACAGTTGAAGATTTTTTAATAGAAGACTGAGTTTGCATTAAAGTGTAGATGTTTGGAATATATTTTAAGTGGATTATCTGGGACGAATGTTTATTCCAAATTTGGAATGATAATTATTTTGCAAAATTTGTATAGTTGCTATCCAGTTTCTTTGTGATACCAGGCTCCTGGAAAGCAGTTGAACTTTTTTAATGCAGAATTAAGATTAAGCAAAACATTTTAATTCATTATGGGCATAGTTTGACTATGGCTTTGTTGCTTTTGTTTCTCATTCTCATTATTTACCATTACTTGAGTGTTTCTATTCTGTGAAACAATATTCTAGATACTGTTCTTTCCAAAAATGTACAGGTCTTTATACATGGTATCCTTAGAGTTTAACTGTACAAACTTTAAAAAAAAGTTGTATAATGAAGTTTTACTGACAGTAATTTCTGGCCAAGCTTCAGAGTAGCTGCACTTTATCCTGAATACTGTGCTAAGGTACATAATGTAATGTTAGACCTCCCAAATTAATGAACCCAAGTACAATTGGGTGCTCCTTCAAGGGGCCTTACGTGGCAGCAGCAGTAGAAATTTTATAAAATTGGAGTTTTGTCAGGTCTTGCCAAATAATGAAAGATTTTCTTGTGCTGGCACTTTAGAATACCTAATTATACCCATTGGATTAATATTATGTTTTAGTTCCACAAATGAAAAACACTGAAAATTGGTTAAGATTCCCCTCCCTTCTTTATTAAGCGATAATAAACACTTAAGATTTAATGGGCTTGTGACATCTATTGTTTGTAATCTATACATAGATAATTTATAGAAAATTTTAATATTAATGCCTTCATAATCTATTGTAAATATATAGGCTAGTCCCTGCTCAAAGAAGTATGGCTATAGATTGTAATGAACTTTTCAAATAGCTCTTGCGGTTCCAAAACACAGAATCAATATTCTGTCTTTATATTCACACCTACATACAGTTACAATAACTTTCTACTTATAACTTACAATAAATAAACATGCCTATCATCAAGAGAAGGAATGTGTCTTTTTTCTCTATGTAATAGTAAACCTCAGTAAAACAAGTCTTTCACTTTAATTCCTATGAATTCTGATGTTTAGTAATAATATAGATACTAGCAAAGAATCAAATTAAACAAAATCATCTTGCTTTCCAAATAAGGATATGTTATATAATTAAATTTATTTATACTTGATAAGACATGAACATGTATATCTTTTCCAGAATTTAATTCAATTAGTCATTAGCTGATGGTTGAGATAAGGGATGAGTTATTTAATCCTGACACAAAGCTAGTTTTCTACTTTATTTTCCATTTATTTTTATTTTTATTCCCAGATTTAATCTGTCAGTGTTTTCTCTCTTCTTAACTGTACTTAGTCACCATACATGTCTACTAATTTCTATGTCTTGAAAGCCTTCTCTTACAATTTGTGGGGGTTTTTTTTTGCCTTCTTACAGATATTTAACTTTTTCTATAATTTCTACCTGTAAACTCGCTTTGAGTAAAGTTGTGAGGATTTAAACCATGCATCATAAATACTAGACCAAATACCATGTTTAAATGATTGTTCATATAGCCTCTTTCACTAATGTATTCAACGATTAACACTGCTTCCTCTGGAAAAGAAAGTAGGGAAAACAAACTACATTTGTTTTTGTTTTTGACCTTCTTGA